TTACAGGGTGTGACTCCTGTGACCAAACTGACACAGTGTGATATTACATATATTTATATCTGTCTTTACTGATGTTGTTTGAAGCTGCCAAAGGCTCAGTGAAGTTTGGTCATGTCTTCCTGCAGTGAACATCACAGCAGGTTAACAAGTGAAATGTGGAAACTGATGCACAACACAAGAGGGTGCCTTCATCCTGCTAACCAGGGATGTAGAGGAGGTTAAAGCACCTCAACTCAGTGTGTCCACAGTTTTAGTTCAGACCATGTTTTTAGGCTGATAAAAACCTTTATAGTAAAAGTGCATTGTGTCATACATCATGGTAAAAGCTGTCAAACTGATATTAGTTCATCAGTTAGAGAAACTTTACTGTCAGTGATTTAACGCACCACCCTGCCAGCACGCTACGTGACCCAAATCAAACACACCCAAGATGGTGCAGACTGACGGGTGCATGTTGGATCTGGCAAACTTGCTAAATGCTCATGGTGGATCCTCCAGCTGTGACTTCTACGTTCATTGGGGAACTTTAGGTGTGTGAGGCCTTTGTTCTGTTTGTGACAATAATCCCTGATGTGACTGCAGAGAAGTTTCAGCTGGTTGCAATGTGCAGTCGTCACAGCTAGATGCCACTAAATCCCCCAAAATCTTACACACTGGACTTTTAAGAAAAAATCTTTTACCAACCAAAACTTTATTCAAACTGTATTTTTGGAAAATGAGAAGAGCCCATTTTAAGGACTGAAGAGCCGTCTCCAAACCCTCTGATTCTAAGAGTTTACCTCCTAAAAGTTGAAGTGATCAGTGTTTTTAAATGAGAAAGGAGCTTTACTTTAAACAAGTGTGAAACACACAGTATCTCTGTCTCAAACTGATCCTCTTCCTGCAAAGCTGCATGAGCCCTCCCTCCTCCTCCTGCTCTCACACACAGCGAGCTCCACTCTGTTCACATATTTCCTTGTTCCCTCCCCTTCAGATCTACAGTTTGAAGATGGGTGTAACTAACATGTGGTGACTTGATAGAGCTGACAGGCTCCATTCACTGCAGGAACACATGATGTTCAGTTCAGAGCTCAAACTAGTTTCACTTTAAAGGAAGTGAGAGTCAGACAGGCGTTGTCACTGAGAGGTGAAATGGCGCAGAGAAAAATTGAGCTGGACCGAGAAACCTTCTCTTGTTCCATCTGTCTGGACCTACTGAAGGATCCGGTGGCTATTCCCTGTGGACACAGCTACTGCATGAACTGTATTAAAACCCACTGGGATGAAGAGGATGTGAAGAAAATCTACAGCTGCCCTCAGTGTAGGCAGAGCTTCACACCTAGTCCTTTCCTGGTGATAATCACCATGTTAGCAGTTTTTGTGGAGGAACTGAAGATGACTGGACTCCAAGCTGCTCCTGCTGATCACTGCTATGCTGGAGCTGAAGATGTGGCCTGTGATGTCTGCACTGGGAGAAAACTGAAAGCCCTCAAGTCCTGTTTGGTGTGTGTGGCCTCTTTCTGTGAGAAACACCTTCAATTTCATTATGACTCAGTTCCGTTCAGGAAACACAAGCTGGTGGAGCCCTCCAAGAAGCTGCAGGAGAACATCTGCTCTCGTCATGATGAGGTGATGAAGATTTTCTGTCGCACTGATCAGCAGAGTATCTGTTATCTCTGCTCGATGGATGAACATAAAGGCCACGACACAGTGTCAGCTGCAGCAGAAAGGACTGAGAGGCAGAGAGAGCTGGAGGTGAGTC